TATATATATATATATATAAACATATATATATATAATGAAACCTAAAACGATTGTATCAGCACGACTTACAGGTGCTGAACCATCTCAAACGGAAAGTTAACGGTCCAATGTCACCCAGATAAAAATTTAAATTTATTAGGCGTTCCGTCGATAACATACGCCCTGCTGAAAGGTGTATATTACTGAAGAAGCGCTGCTCCGCCGCATCTGATGGAAAGTGAATGTTGCTACGAAAATTAGCTGACCGTTTTGCTGTGTTCATTTATTGTTCATTGAGTTTCATGTTCTAGATTGTCCAAGTGGGGCGCTTGTTTTATGGGGCGTCCGGCCAAATTATCGAGGTGACTGTTTACATATTGCATGTTGCATATTGCGCGTGCGTATCCCCTTGTGAGCAGCATACCGCCAGTTGGCTCCCAAATAAGAAACGAATCGTGGGTGTGCTGCGAATAACTGCGAATTGATGCTGAATCTGTGTGCTAGTAATGCCACAAACGGAAATGATGCTGTGCGTCACTGAGCTGACGGGTCTATGGTAGAATATGCGATGGGTGTTGATTGGGCATCCAAGTCCAAAATACGCTGAGGTTATATGATACGCATATGCTTCCTAAAGGCCATGCAAATATGAAAACGGCACAGCATCAGACAGCAACCGTTGGTTTGTCCGGAACGAACGTCTTCTTTTGATACTGTCCGGGCCTCATCTATCTGAACAAGCTGGGCAGCTTACACACTGATGCAAAATTCTCGATTTCCACATAGTTTTACACCGCCTTCGGTAACTGTCTTTAGGAAAGTGCAGAGCGACAATTGACTTACATATATACGTTGCTTTAAAAGGGCACTCAAGTCGGTCAATCGACGTTTTCCGCACCCGGAAAACGTAACGACAGGCCAGATGATGCGATCTGTCGTTGGATGTAAACCACTTTGCTCATCCCCACCACTGGTTCTTGTCCGGACACGCGAAGCCCCGCCAGAGCATGCCGTCTGCCAAAAAACGCAATTACTCGTCCTCACTCGGCGGAGCCTATCAGCAATTCCGGCTCGGAAATTTAAGGACCTTGCAAGTTCACCGGCTGCAAATGGCCCCGATTTACACAACGGTATTAATTACATTTGCAGTTCTACGAGCATCGAGGATTACTCGGTGGAAACATGAACAAACTAGCACGACTTTAACGCACTGGACATTGATGTCGGAGGAAAGTTTAAGCATTTTCCAGCTTGTAGGGTACACACCCACTTGAATCAAGATCAGACCGTACGGTTGGAAGGTGTGGACAAAGCACGAAGGTGGGGGGCAAAACCAGGGGGTTCTGACAGGTACGTTGTAGATAGCTTTAAATCGCGGATTACAAGAGAACTGAACAAATAAACTGGAGAGACACTAAAATTTCGTACGTTGGGTTGATTAGTTTGAACTAAAACTGAAAACCGTCGCCTAGGCTGTGTGGCCTTGTACATTTGAATTAACAGCCGACGTCAGAACAGCGTAGGTGGAAATGATGAGGTGAGGAAATACACGGTGATGATGAACGGTGGCTTGCACCGCAGAATCACGGAGTACAAAGAAGCAGGATAGACTCAGTTGCATCGCTTCAGGGTGTGAGCCACGTGTAAATGTTCCTCGGGGAATAGGCGATGCCAGCGCATGAAACGCAACGTGAAGTACGAAGAAAAGGTTGAGTTTTTGATGAGATCAACCTGAAAGTTGTGGTTAAATCCCGTGGGAGAGGCTGAGTGAGTTATATAAAACTTGTCCGAGTATCGGTTGGGCCAGGTGAGCGGTTTGTTCATATTTGCTTCTGGAGTTCTGACAAGGCGAGATGGGACAATTTGAACTACGGCAAAAAACTTTACACCCATGCCATCAGGCTGAACATTGCAGTGACATGCCCCGATTTCTGATGGAATTCAACGATGAGATGACCGGAAATGGAATGCATATTTCTGCGTGCAACTGAATTTGAGTTAGCCGAGAGGATCAACACTGGGGGATCAGTCCTATGTCAAATTTCGGGTTATTTTGATTTAGTTCAGGGATCCAAGTGGACGTAAATCAGGGCCTAGGCGGGGTGGATAGCGGCCATTTGGAGCATTTGGATAAACTACCGCCAAAATTCAGGGGTTGAAATGTGTGAATGCGTTTGGGCTTCAACATGCGTAATCAGAAATGCGGCGCTTCAGCGTTAAAGCTTTCTATCAATACAACGTTTTGGTGAAAAGCGCATATGCCGCACAAAGATAATTCGCAACTACCTACCCCTAGACACGTGCCAAAAATTGTTCGCGGAAATCTTTTACATAAAGTTCTGGTGCTTGATGTTTGTTTGAAATTTGAATATCTTTCTGGAAAGCCACGGTTGTCTCAAAATTTGTCGAACACTTGGACTCTGAAGGTGGATTTCATATTTTCAATGACTGCCAGTGATCAGCGTTATCAGTTAGTGAAGGTAGTGAGCAGTTTTTGTGGAGAAACTGTTTTTCTGTGGTCTTCCTAATAATAACAATCTTTATTTCCAAGCTGGCCATAACATTACGGTTAAAATAAAGCACGACAGGCGGGATTTAGGGGTACTTGGCATTGCGCTGAAAATACATGGTGTCACAAAGAGTGTGCATTATTCAATAGATACGTGGGCACCTCTAAACAACCACCGGCATCGAGGCACATTTACTGCTTTTTGGTGGGGGTTATCGAACTGAAGCAGGCAAAACCAGAACGAAGGAGAGCAACCAGGAGGCAGCCTGTGCCACATGACAAGAAGGCTGCAAATTGCGGAAAATAAGGAACCATAACAACGGATCTGGCGAAGCAGCAAATTTGGTGCGATCCGACTGGCCAATTTCAACTGAAGCCCAAAACGACCGCTGAGGCCTCGTGCTCTTGTACTGTTGGGCTTATGGCCAGGTTGATAAATAGCGTAAGCGGGGATGGTTAAATCGAGGGATTGGTAATGCGGTTAAATGGTAGCAGAAATCTCAGGTGTACACTGAAACCGTCAGGACCTACCGGTGTTGCTGTTAAAGTGGGGTCGGATGTAAAAGTTACTTGAAAGAGCGGGTTGGTGACAACACACGAGCCGGAACGCGAAGTGCACAGAAAGATACTGATTTGTGGAGGGCGCAGAATGAATGCCCACCAAAATGGTCAAACACGAACGAGGTTTCTGCAGACTAGAATGAACCTCTTCTGGGAGCAGCTCGGGATACCTTGACTCTCTTTGTAGTTGGAGCTTACTAAAGTGTGACCCAATTATTGTCATCTGCATCGGGCCTCGCACCAGGACAGCGCCAGTTCTGAAAAGTGTTTTGTTGTCAGTGATAACTGAGATGATGTTACATAACGATATCCTCGAAATAAAGCGCCTTTTGGTGCTGCCCCTTCGGCAGCTAGCCGCCGGTTTTCTTCTGAGGACACATCCGTTGAGTATGGACCATCAAGGTTTCCATCAACCCTACCATTCATATGGCCGTGGAATTGTGCGTCACTGTAGCTACGCAATCATTTGCCAGCCAAATATTTATTCAAAGGACACTCAAATAATAGCTTACTGAAATTCGCGTTTACCGTTGTCATTAATTTTGAAGCACTGCTATGCCAGCAGAAATACAGAAGGCCCTGTGTAGCCTATCCAGCTGAGAGAGGTCAAGAGTATCCTAGATGAAATACCCAGTGTAACGGTCGAACGGTATCTTCGAGTGACACGTAATACCAGAACCTCCGGGTAGGC